GAGATTAAAGATGTGAGTGAGGGAGCATAAGATTGAGGAGGGTGATCATAGGAGTTGTGTGACCTTAGTGATCTCCTCAGTGGTAGCAAGGTCAAAGGAGTGGAGTGTTGAGGGGGTTTTAGTGTGAGGGGTGTCAGGTGGGTTGGAGGTCTGGACAGTTGCGAGGTCAGAGGAGAGGAGTGTTGAGGGGTTTTTCGTGTGAGGGAGGCTAGGTGGGGTGGAAGTCTGAGCAGTGGCGATGTCCCTACGAAATGCGTTGATCTTGTTTTGGAAGTGGTTAGCAATCTTGTGGGCAGTGAGTGAGGTACTGGGTGGAGGTGGGGCGGAGAGAGTAGAGAGTTAAAAGTAGAGAAGAGCCAGCGAGGACTGGAGGAGAGGATATTGATGAGGGTTACAAAGTAAGCTTGTTTGGCAGCGTGGAGGGAGGAAGTGTAGGTGAGGAAGGCAGATTTATATTGCGTGAACGCTTGTTGGGATCTGGTTTTGCGCCATAATTGCTCCAGCGCATGACTGCGTCGTTTGAGGTTTTTGGTATGGTCATTCTGCCAGGGTTGAAGCGGTCGGGGTCTAATGCTTCATATGGTTAGGGGTGCTAAGGAGTCTAGGGCAGCTGACAGCGAGTTGTTATAAGCAGTAGTGGCCAGGTTAGGGCAGGCAGGACAGTGGAAGGATACTGTCGTAAAGTTGGTCAGCTGCAGAGTGGAAAGGGGCAGGGTTCAAGTTGTGGAGGTTTCGGCTGGTGATGGTTTGACGTTTGGGGGGGTAGGTGTTTGAGGACGAGGAGACGGTGAAGGTAATGAGGTTGTGGTCAGAGAGAAGAAAAGGGGTGTTTGTGAGGTTGTGGGGGGTGCAGAGATGAGAGAAAACAAGGTCCAGGGTGTTCCCGTCGGAGTGGGTGGTGGACTATGTACACTGTGCAAGTGCAAAAGAAGAGGTTAGGTGGAGGAGTTGGGATGTAGCCGGGTTATTGATGTTGATAGGGATGTTGAAGTCTCCAAGGATGATGGTGGGTAGCTCGGAGGAGAGAAAGAAGGGTAAGCAGGCAGAGACGTCATCGAGGAAATGGGACACGAGTCCAGGAGGCTAATAGATTACTGCAATCCTCAGAGGGATTGGAGAGAACAGTCAGATGTAGTGGGCCTCAAAGGAGGAGAAGGATAGAGGGGGGGTTTGGGGAGGACTTGGAAGGTGCTCAGCAGTGACAGGAGCATACCAACCACACCACCTCTTCGACTGCTTAGTCTGGGTGAATGGGTCCAGACGAGACCTCCATAGGAGAGTGCTGCAGGGGAGGTGGAGTCAGTGGCTTGGATCCAGGTTTTGGTGATCGCTAGGAGGTTGAGGGGAGCGGGAGATAAAGAGGTCATGGATGGCGGTGAGCTTGTTGCAAACCGATTGGGCATTCAGGAGTGCACACGAGAATGGAGGGGTGGTTGTGGGGAGCAGGGGGACAGGTATTAGATTGAGGGGGTTGTGGCAGTTTGTGGAAGTAGGAGGGTGCCTAGTGGGTGAGTGAGGTGGTGGGGGACCAGGGTTCTGGGAGATGTCCCCCGTGGTTAGGAGAAGAAGAAGGGTGAGAAAGATGTACAAGAGCGTGTGAGTCTGCCAGTGGTGACGTTTGGGTCAGTGGGAGAGTGGAGTATCAGGAGGAGGTGGTGAGAGCCGTAGTGGGGAAATGGAAGCAGTGAGGGCGCGATGTATAGTTGTTTGGGAGGAGTAGAGGGATAGAGAAGAGATTTTGGGAACAGAGGAGAGGAGTATGAGGAGGAGGAGTACAGGGTGGCATTTTAGGAGGGTAAACGGAGTGGCGGACTCCGTTTACCCTCCTAAAAAGTGAGGGAGCTAAAAGGTTTCTCAGGGCGCATGGTTGCAGATAGTCTAGTGTGCAGTGGCGTATCTCATTGATGTAGCTTCCTGTAGTAAGAGTTCTCGTGCTTGGGAACAGGATGGGTAGAGATCAGTTCGGTAAGTTGTGGCAGAGGGTAGTCAAGCTGCAAGTTCTAGTTTGCGTAAGTCCCAGATTGAGGGGTGAGGTTTGGCTTGAGGAGATGAGGGGTGGACGTTAGCAGTGGAAGGGTTTCCCAGGTGGTGGAGTTTAGGTTTAGAGAAGGTTATGAGGGGGTGTGGTCGTCAGATGGGCTTCAGGTCAGGGCAGGGTTGATCATCTGATGAGCTCAGCAGGTCCGGGATGGTAGACCTCACCGAGGTAGGACCGTTCGCCGGGGGCAGGGTCGTTTGCCAAGATTACTTTGGGGGTAGACAGAAGGGCCTCAGGTCTGGGTCAGGCCGCATCTTGGTAGGCTGTGGCAGGTCTCGCTACTCACGGGGGGGGGGGGGGGGGTAGACAGGAAGGCCTCAGGTCCGGGTCAAGCCACGTCATGGAAGGCTGAGTCAGGTCTCACAGGCCGGGTTCATCTGTGGGTTCAAGAGGAGAAGGAGATGGGGACTGCAGGCTCACGGTTGCGGGGAGTGTGCCGTGGTGGGTCTTGATGGTCCTTTAGATTGCAGGCTCACTGCTGGATGGATTACCGGGGGAGCGTGCAGAGGTAGGCCGCGGTAGGCCCTGCCAGTCCGGGTGCTGTAGTTGTCTCATAGGGGGGGTCTGGGTGACACCGCTCCACCCTCCAGGTGCGGGTGAAGTTGGGGAGGTCTTCACTGCTCGCCTTCAGCCGTTATTGGGGCGGTGGGAGAGTGGTGGGCGGCCGGATCTTCTGCTGCAGGCTGCGGTCTTGAGTGGAGTAGGCTTGCTAGGAGTAAGCCGCGGCTTGGCAGGAGTGGGCCGCGGCTAGCCCTGCTGGGACGGGTGCCGCAGTGGACTGCCGGAGGCTCGGGGGGGTTATCTGCATCCGCCCCCTGCTGCTGCTCAGATCGACGGGCGGCTAACTGCGACAGGGCCCGGCAGCTTCAGGTACTGTAGGCCGTGTGGCAGGCCCCGCCGGGTCAGACGCCGCGGGACGCAGTGGAGCCATTATGGTTCTATGCAGATTCCCCAATTAGAAGAGCCAAGGGAGTGGCAATAGGTTTTGCGAAAAATATAAGGTTTAAGTTAGAAGACAGATTGGTAGATCCGGAAGGGAGATTTCTGTTTCTGAAGGGGAAACTACAAGAAATAGATTGTACATTAGCAAATATTTATTGCCAGAATAAGAAACCGGAGATATTCCTAAAAAATACTCTAAATGGATTTCAAAAAAGGTAGTTTAAACGTTGCAGGAGATTTCAATCTCTGTATGGGCCCTAAGATAGACAAGACATCTCCTGTGCAGAGAGAGGAAAGTAAATCTATGAGATCCCTGAAAAAAATGATATTCCAATGCCAACTTGTGGATATATGGAGAATTAAGCACGTGAAGGAAAGGGATTATACGTTTTACTCCCATGCACATGAGATGTACTCGAGATTGGATTATATATTGCTGGAACATCGAATTATTGAGTCTTTGGTCAAAGTAAAAATAGAAGTGATGTCAATATCGGATCACGCTCCAGTCACAATGCAATTAGCATGGGGGAAGGAGCCGAAAGGGGGAAAAGTATGGAGGTTCAATGAGACACTCCTCCAGGATCAAGAGACAGATCAAAAAATTAAAAAAGAAATAGAGCAATTTTTTCTAGGAAAATGATACTGGGGAAGTGTCTGTAGGAACGGTGTTGGAGGCTCATAAGACCTATATTAGAGGAATCCTGATAGCGATTGGGGCAAAAGAGAGAAAGAAGAGAAAAAATGAATGCGCTTCTCTGGGAACTCTGTGAGCTTGAGCAGACACACAAATATAGAATAACAAAAGAGATAATGCAGAGGGTAATAAATAGAGATGAGCGAAGTATTCAAAAATTAGATTCGACTGATTCGGCGAATTCGTGGACAATATTCGATTCGAGTCGAATATATTCGCTGTGAATTTAACTTAAAAAAGGGTGTTTCTAGGCTTCAGAGAGACTTAATATTAGTGCAGAACACTGTACCTTTAATTTAAATGCCCTTGGAGTCTGCTGGGGAAGAGAAATAATACTGTCAGTCAGTATGACATGCAGATGAGTGCCGTCGATCTTAGAATCACCGCACACTTCACTCATTTGGCCAGTCACGGGGCCAAAACCAGTGTTTGGAGCCACAGTGTGGCGGTGGAGGCAGCAGCAATGGGAGGCCATACAGCAACCTATGACAAAATGGAAACCAGAGGAGTGTGAGGAGACCTCAAAGTGGCACATGGCAGAGTGGGAGCAATGGGAGGCGGTACAGGGACCCATGTCACACTGTGGACCCAGCAGCAGCGTGACCAGGCGGTACGGAGGCCCATGGCAGATTACAGGCCTGGCAGCAGCAATGGGAGGCCCGTAATCTGTCAGCACCCTATGACAAAATGGAACCCACCAGCAGTGTGAGGAGACCTGAAAGTGGCACATGGCAGAGTGTGGCGATGGAGACAGCAGCAATGGGAGGCCGTACAGGGACCCATGAGAGACTCTGGACCTGGCAGCAGCATGAGGAGGCGGTATAGGGGCCCATGGCAGATTAGGGGCCTGGCAGCAGCTATAGGAGGCCCGTAATCTGCCAGCACCCTATGTCAAAAAATTCAACACACCAGCAGTGTGTGAGGAGACCTGAAAGTGGCACATGGCAGAGTGTGGCGATGGAGACAGCAGCAATGGGAGGCCGTACAGGGACCCATGACAGACTCTGGACTTGGCAGCAGCATGATGAGGAGGCGGTATATAGGGGCCCATGGCAGATTAGGGGCCTGGCAGCAGCTATGGGAGGCCCGTAATCTGCCAGCACCCTATGTCAAAAAATTCAACACACCAGCAGTGTGTGAGGAGACCTGAAAGTGGCACATGGCAGAGTGTGGCGATGGAGACAGCAGCAATGGGAGGCCGTACAGGGACCCATGAGAGACTCTGGACTTGGCAGCAGCATGAGGAGGCGGTATATAGGGGCCCATGGCAGATTAGGGGCCTGGCAGCAGCTATGGGAGGCCCGTAATCTGCCAGCACCCTATGTCAAAAAATTCAACACACCCAGCAGTGTGAGGAGACCTGAAAAGTGGCACATGGCAGAGAGTGTGGCGATGGAGACAGCAGCAATGGGAGGCCGTACAGGGACCCATGACAGACTCTGGACTTGGCAGCAGCATGAGGAGGCGGTATAGGGGCCCATGGCAGATTAGGGGCCTGGCAGCAGCTATGGGAGGCCCGTAATCTGCCAGCACCCTATGACAAAAAATGGAACACACCAGCAGTGTGAGGAGACCTGAAAGTGGCACATGTTTGGGGCATGATTCATGGCGGATTTAGTCAGTTGTGTCAGGAACTGGTGGTTTGAAATCCAGACTAATCCACGCCTGATTCATTTTCACAAACGTGAGTCTCTCCACACTTTAGGGGGTGGACAGTCGTGTCCTCCGCGGAGTTGCAATACCTCCTGCCGCACTAAAAACACGCGCTCCGATGCCACGCTACTGGCCGGGCATGACAGCCTTTCAAGGGCAAATTCAGCTAGTTGGGGCCAAAGGTCAAGTTTCGTTGCCCAGTAGTCAAGGGGATTGTCTACCTCGGTTGGCAGGGTGCTGTCCAAGTAGGCCTAAGCCTGTTGTTTGAGGTCCTGCTCCAGGTCCACCTGATGCTGCTGCTGCTGCTGCTGCGGCTGGTTATTAGTTTCCTCACTGCGCTGGTGAAGAAAGCTACTCATCATCGACTGCAGACTGAGGCAGCTGCTGCTGGTGGAGCTGCCACTGCTCCTACCACCCCACCCCTCCCCTGCTGCCATGGCAGCGTAACGCGAGCGCACAGGCCCACAGTGTCTGAGGATGGACGTTGGCGCAGACAGGCAGAGACCAGCTGACTACATAGGTGGTTTTTATAGTACGTTATTTTGGCCTCCCTCTCAGCAGGTGTGAAAAAGGCCACCATTTTGGAACGGTAGCGAGGGTCCAACAAGGTGGACAGCCAAAAGTCATCCCTCTGTCTGATGGTTATTATTCGGCTGTCGCTACGCAAGCAAGCGAGCATGCTATGGGCCATTTGTGCCAAGGAATGCGAGGGACTCCCTGCCTCCATCTCCACAGCATACTGCCACGGTGCGTCTGGGTCCTCTGTCTCCTCTTCCTCCTCCTCTACCAGATGCTCCTGCTCTCCACTCCTGTCCGCTGAGTGGAAAAACCACCCATTTCACTCAATAATTCCTGAGCACCAATGTCCTCCTCTACCTCCTCCTCTTCTTCCTGTCCTGCCCCCACAGGGGTCATGTGGCGTTGAGATCTGTGCGCCACGTCTACCGCACCCTGACCAGCCATTATTAACAGCATTTGTTCCAGGACGTGCAACAGAGGAATGACGTCGTTCATCCCATAGTCCTGCCGACTCACGAATAGCGTGGCCTCCTCAAAGGGCCTGAGCAAGCGCAGGTGTCACGCATGAGCTGCCAATGGCTGACATCTAAGTTACACAGGGAGTACCTTTATCCGCTTTTAACATCAGGAAATCTGTGATGGCCTTTTGCTGTTCGTAAAAAGGCGGTCTAACATATGTAGGGTTGAATTCCACCTTGTTGCAACGTCACAGCATGAGGAGTCGGTACGGGGGCCCATGGCAGATTACGGGCCTGGCAGCAGCAATGGGAGGCCCGTAATCTGCCAGCACCCTATGTCAAAAAATTCAACACACCAGCAGTGTGTGAGGAGACCTGAAAGTGGCACATGGCAGAGTGTGGCGATGGAGACAGCAGCAATGGGAGGCCGTACAGGGACCCATGAGAGACTCTGGACCTGGCAGCAGCATGAGGAGGCGGGTATAGGGGCCCATGGCAGATTAGGGGCCTGGCAGCAGCTATAGGAGGCCCGTAATCTGCCAGCACCCTATGTCAAAAAATTCAACACACCAGCAGTGTGTGAGGAGACCTGAAAGTGGCACATGGCAGAGTGTGGCGATGGAGACAGCAGCAATGGGAGGCCGTACAGGGACCCATGACAGACTCTGGACTTGGCAGCAGCATGAGGAGGCGGTATATAGGGGCCCATGGCAGATTAGGGGCCTGGCAGCAGCTATGGGAGGCCCGTAATCTGCCAGCACCCTATGTCAAAAAATTCAACACACCAGCAGTGTGTGAGGAGACCTGAAAGTGGCACATGGCAGAGTGTGGCGATGGAGACAGCAGCAATGGGAGGCCGTACAGGGACCCATGACAGACTCTGGACCTGGCAGCAGCATGATGAGGAGGCGGTATATAGGGGCCCATGGCAGATTAGGGGCCTGGCAGCAGCTATGGGAGGCCCGTAATCTGCCAGCACCCTATGTCAAAAAATTCAACACACCAGCAGTGTGTGAGGAGACCTGAAAGTGGCACACATGGCAGAGTGTGGCGATGGATGGACAGCAGCAATGTGAGGAGACCGAACAGGGACCCATGACAGAGACTCTGGACCTGGCAGCAGCATGAGGAGGCGGTATATAGGGGCCCATGGCAGATTAGGGGCCTGGCAGCAGCTATGGGAGGCCCGTAATCTGCCAGCACCCTATGTCAAAAAATTCAACACACCAGCAGTGTGTGAGGAGACCTGAAAGTGGCACATGGCAGAGTGTGGCGATGGAGACAGCAGCAATGGGAGGCCGTACAGGGACCCATGACAGACTCTGGACCTGGCAGCAGCATGAGGAGGGGCGGTATATAGGGGCCCATGGCAGATTAGGGGCCTGGCAGCAGCTATGGGAGGCCCGTAATCTGCCAGCACCCTATGTCAAAAAATGGAACACACCAGCAGTGTGTGAGGAGACCTGAAAGTGGCACATGGCAGAGTGTGGCGATGGAGACAGCAGCAATGGCGACAGGGACCCATGCAGACTCTGGTGGCAGCAGCATGAGGACGGTAGGGGCCCAATGGCATTGGGCCCCCTGGCAGCAGCTATGGGAGCCCGTAATCTGCCAGCACCTATGTCAAAAAATTTACGGCACAGCACTTGTGAGGAGACCTGAAAGTGGCACATGGCAAAATTGCGATGGAGACAGCGAGTATGGGAGGCTTTATGCTACTCCTGGACTGGCAGCAGCATGGCAGGTTTAGGGGCCTGGGCAGATTAGCAGCTATGGGCTGGGCCCGTAATCTGCCAGCACCCTATGTCAAAAAATTCAAACACACCAGCAGTGTGTGAGGAGACCTGAAAGTGGCACATGGCAGAGTGTGGCGATGGAGACAGCAGCAATGGGAGGCCGTACAGGGACCCATGACAGACTCTGGACCTGGCAGCAGCATGAGGAGGAGGGGTATAGGGGCCCATGGCAGATTAGGGGCCTGGCAGCAGCTATGGGAGGCCCGTAATCTGCCAGCACCCTATGTCAAAAAATTCAACACACCAGCAGTGTGTGAGGAGACCTGAAAGTGGCACATGGCAGAGTGTGGCGATGGAGACAGCAGCAATGGGAGGCCGTACAGGGACCCATGAGAGACTCTGGACTGGCAGCAGCATGAGGAGGCGGTATATAGGGGCCCATGGCAGATTAGGGGCCTGGCAGCAGCTATGGGAGGCCCGTAATCTGCCAGCACCCTATGTCAAAAAATTCAACACACCAGCAGTGTGTGAGTGTGTGAGGAGACCTGAAAGTGGCACATGGCAGAGTGTGGCGATGGAGACAGCAGCAATGGGAGGCCGTACAGGGACCCATGAGAGACTCTGGACCTGGCAGCAGCATGAGGAGGCGGTATATAGGGGCCTATGGCAGATTTAGGGGCCTGGCAGCAGCTATGGGAGGCCCGTAATCTGCCAGCACCCTATGTCAAAAAATTCAACACACCAGCAGTGTGAGGGAGACCTGAAAGTGGCACATGGCAGAGTGTGGCGATGGAGACAGCAGCAATGGGAGGCCGTACAGGGACCCATGACAGACTCTGGACCTGGCAGCAGCATGAGGAGGCGGTATATAGGGGCCCATGGCAGATTAGGGGCCTGGCAGCAGCTATGGGAGGCCCGTAATCTGCCAGCACCCTATGTCAAAAAATTCAAACACACCAGCAGTGTGTGAGGAGACCTGAAAGTGGCACATGGCAGAGTGTGGCGATGGAGACAGCAGCAATGGGAGGCCGTACAGGGACCCATGAGAGACTCTGGACCTGGCAGCAGCATGAGGAGGCGGTATATAGGGGCCCATGGCAGATTAGGGGCCTGGCAGCAGCTATGGGAGGCCCGTAATCTGCCAGCACCCTATGTGTCAAAAAATTCAACACACCAGCAGTGTGTGAGGAGACCTGAAAGTGGCACATGGCAGAGTGTGGCGATGGAGACAGCAGCAATGGGAGGCCGTACAGGGACCCATGACAGACTCTGGACTTGGCAGCAGCATGAGGAGGCGGTATATAGGGGCCCATGGCAGATTAGGGGCCTGGCAGCAGCTATGGGAGGCCCGTAATCTGCCAGCACCTATGTCAAAAAATTGAACACACACACCAGCAGTGTGTGAGGAGACCTGAAAGTGGCACATGGCAGAGTGTGGCGATGGAGACAGCAGCAATGGGAGGCCGTACAGGGACCCATGACAGACTCTGGACTGGCAGCAGCATGATGAGGAGGCGGTATATAGGGGCCCATGGCAGATTAGGGGCCTGGCAGCAGCTATGGGAGGCCCGTAATCTGCCAGCACCCTATGTCAAAAAAATTCAACACACCAGCAGTGTGTGAGGAGACCTGAAAGTGGCACATGGCAGAGTGTGTGGCGATGGAGACAGCAGCAATGGGAGGCCGTACAGGGACCCCATGACAGACTCTGGACCTGGCAGCAGCATGAGGAGGCGGTATATAGGGGCCCATGGCAGATTAGGGGCCTGGCAGCAGCTATGGGAGGCCCGTAATCTGCCAGCACCCTATGTCAAAAAATTTCAAACACACCAGCAGTGTGTGAGGAGACCTGAAAGTGGCACATGGCATGGCATGGAGACAGCAGAGAGGCTGTACAGGGACCTGAGCAGCAGCAGCATGAGGAGGCGGTATAGGGGCCCATGGCAGATTAGGGGGGCCTGGCAGCAGCTATGGGAGGCCCGTAATCTGCCAGCACCCTATGTCAAAAAATTCAACACACCAGCAGTGTGTGTGAGGACCTGAAAGTGGCACATGGCAGAGTGTGGCGATGGAGACAACCCACCGACTGTTTTGCTCGCTGCCAAGCTGCCACCCTCTTCTCCTGATGATGATGGAAGCAATAGCCTGATGACGACGAGGCTGCAAGTGCGATCAGCCTCATCATCATCAATTAGGGTCTCCGCCTCACTACTAGCCCCCTCGGCTGCGTGTGGGTCAGGAGACAGACCTGTCTCTACACCGGCTACCGAGCCACTCTCCTCGCCACTACTTCTTCGCCTGGCTGCTGAAGAGGCGGATGTCTCCCCCCGTTCCTGACCGCCCTCTGTTAGCTCTTCCTCACTGTACTGGATGACACCGGGAGCACTAGCCTCTGGCTGCGAATAGTGCTGCCTCGACCCCTTCCTCTGCTGCCTGCCACGTCTGCTCGCTCCTCCTAAAACATTGCCTCCTCTGCCACTCCTCTGCATGTTGTCTGACATACTCTTTAATTAAACGATTCTGTGTCCCTGAGTAACAATTCTGTGTCCCTGAGTAACGTTTCTGTGGCCCTAAGTAACAGTTCTGTGGCCCTAAGTAACAGTTCTGTGGCCCCCTCAGTAACAATTCTGTGTCTGTCCCCTGAGTAACAATTCTGTGTCCCTCAGTAATTCTTCTGTGTCCCTCTAGTAACAATTCTGTGTCCCTGAGTAACAATTCTGTGTCCCTGAGTAACAACTGTTTCTGTGGCCCTAAGTAACAGTTCTGTGGCCCTAAGTAACAGTTCTGTGCCCTCAGTAACCCTCAAGTAACATTCTGTGTCCCAAAACAATTCTGTGTCCCTGAGTAACATTCTGTGTCTGTGTCCCTGAGTAACAATTCTGTGTCCCTCAGTAACAATTCTGTGTCCCTCAGTAACAATTCTGTGTCCCTAAGAGTAACGTTTCTGTGGCCCTAAGTAACAAACAGTTCTGTGGCCCTAAGTAACAATTCTGTGTCCCTGAGTAACAATTCTGTGTCTGTCCCTGAGTAACAATTCTGTGTCCCCAGTAACAATTCTGTGTCCCTCAGTAACAATTCTGTGTCCCTGAGTAACAATTCTGTGGCCCTCAGTAACAATTCTGTGTCCCTCAGTAACAATTCTGTGTGTCCCTCAGTAAACAATTCTGTGTGAGTAACAATTTCCTGAGTAACAATTCTGAGTAACAATTTCTGTGTCCCTGAGTAACGTTTCTGTGGCCCCTAAGTAACGGTTCTGTGGCCCTCAGTAACAATTCTGTGTGTCCCTGAGTAACAATTCTGTGTCAGTCCCTGAGTAACAATTCTGTTCTGGCCCTGAGTAACAACGTTTCTGTGCCCTAAGTAACAATTCTGTGTCCCTCAGTAACAATTCTGTGTCCCTCAGTAACAATTCTGTGTCCCTCAGTAACAATTCTGTGTCTGTCCCTGAGTAACAATTCTGTGTCTGTCCCTGAGTAACGTTTCTGTGGCCCTAAGTAACGGTTTCTGTGGCCCCTCAGTAACAATTCTGTGTCCCTCAGTAACAATTCTGTGTCTGTCCCTGAGTAACAATTCTGTGTCTGTGTCCCTGAGTAACAATTTCTGTGCCCTGAGTAACAATTCTGTGTCCCTCAGTAACAATTCTGTGGCCCTAAGTAACATTTCTGTGGCCCTCAGTAACAATTCTGTCTGTCCCTGAGTAACAATTCTGTGTCTGTCCCTGAGTAACAATTCTGTGTCTGTCCCTCTGAGTAACAATTCTGTGTGTCCCTCAGTAACAATTCTGTGTCCCTGAGAGTAAGTAACAATTCTGTGTGTAACAATTCTGTGTCCCTCAGTAACAATTCTGTGTCCCTGAGTAACAATTCTGTGTAACAATTCTGTGTCCCTGAGTAACAATTCTGTGTCTGTCCCTGAGTAACAATTCTGTGGCCCTGAGTAACAATTCTGTGGCCCTAAGTAACGGTTCTGTGGCCCTCAGTAACAATTCTGTGTGTCCCTGAGTAACAATTCTGTGTCTGTGTCCCTGTGTCCCTGAGTAACAATTCTGTGGCCCTAAGTAACAATTCTGTGGCCCTAAGTAACGGTTCTGTGTCCCTCAGTAACAATTCTGTGTGTCCCTGAGTAACAATTCTGTGGCCCTAAGTAACGGTTCTGTGGCCCTCAGTAACAATTCTGTGTCCCTGAGTAACAATTATGTGTCTGTCCCTGAGTAACAAGTAACAATTCTGTGGCCCTAAGTAACGGTTCTGTGGCCCTCAGTAACAATTCTGTGTCCCTGAGTAACAATTCTGTGTCTGTCCCTGAGTAACAATTCTGTGGCCCTAAGTAACGGTTCTGTGGCCCTCAGTAACAATTCTGTGTCCCTGAGTAACGTTTCTGTGGCCCTAAGTAACGGTTCTGTGGCCCTCAGTAACAATTCTGTGTCCCTGAGTAACAATTCTGTGTCCCTGAGTAACAATTCTGTGTCCCTGAGTAACAATTCTGTGGCCCTAAGTAACGGTTCTGTGGCCCTGAGTAACAATTCTGTGCCCTGAGTAACGTTTCTGTGGCCCTCAGTAACAATTCTGTGGCCCTCAGTAACAATTCTGTGTCCCTGAGTAACAATTCTGTGTCTGTCCCTGAGTAACAATTCTGTGGCCCTAAGTAACGGTTCTGTGCCCTCAGTAACAATTCTGTGTCCCTCAGTAACAATTCTGTGTCTGTCCCTGAGTAACAATTCTGTGGCCCTAAGTAACGGTTCTGTGGCCCTCAGTAACAATTCTGTGTCCCTGAGTAACAATTCTGTGGCCCTAAGTAACAGTTCTGTGGCCCTCAGTAACAAATTTCTGTGTGTCCCCTCAGTAACAATTCTGTGTCTGTCCCTGAGTAACAATTCTGTGGCCCTAAGTAACGTTCTGTGGCCCTAAGTAACAATTCTGTGGCCCTCAGTAACAATTCTGTGTGTGTCCCTGAGTAACAATTCTGTGGCCCTAAGTAACGGTTCTGTGGCCCTCAGTAACAATTCTGTGTCCCTGAGTAACGTTTCTGTGGCCCTAAGTAACGGTTCTGTGGCCCTCAGTAACAATTCTGTGTCCCTCAGTAACAATTCTGTGTCTGTCCCTGAGTAACAATTCTGTGGCCCTAAGTAACGGTTCTGTGGCCCTCAGTAACAATTCTGTGTCCCTGAGTAACAAAGTTTCTGTGGCCCTAAGTAACGGTTCTGTGGCCCTCAGTAACAATTCTGTGTCCCTGAGTAACAATTCTGTGTCTGTCCCTGAGTAACAATTCTGTGGCCCTAAGTAACGGTTCTGTGTGCCCTCAGTAACAATTCTGTGTCCCTGAGTAACGTTTCTGTGGCCCTAAGTAACGGTTCTGTGGCCCTAAGTAACAATTCTGTGGCCCTCAGTAACAATTCTGTGTCTGTCCCTGAGTAACAATTCTGTGCCCTAAGTAACGTTTCTGTGGCCCTAAGTAACAGTTCTGTGGCCCTCAGTAACAATTCTGTGTCCCTGAGTAGTAACAATTCTGTGGCCCTAAGTAACAATTCTGTGTCCCTGAGTAACAATTCTGTGGCCCTAAGTAACAATTCTGTGGCCCTCAGTAACAATTCTGTGGTCCCTGAGTAACAATTCTGTGGCCCTAAGTAACGGTTCTGTGGCCCT